TGCATTTTAGAATCAAGAAAGCTCAACGTCATTGGTGTGAATGTTCAGATGTAATATCTCTTTAAATTTCTCTTTAAGTTTGTTTGTCTGCAGCTTTTAGTCATTGAGCTGTGTCTTTGCTGCTGTGGTTATGTATTATGTATAGAAATAACCTCGAAATAGACTCAAAATTCATCAGAAATGGATTCAGCATCTTCAATAACCCCCAAAACCACTTCTATATTGTCTCATATAACTGCCCAACATATGAAAGTTAGCATCTGGCAGTTTCTAGATGCAGAGGACCCAAACTGAACATTTAAAACATAAAACTTAGGAGCACTCAACGTTTCCGTGTTCACATTGAGGCTCTTTTGGCTGGCAAATGTTGAGCCGTGTTATGATTCATCCTCCATGCAAACATCAGCTGCATGTGAACACTGTCGCCACCAAACACAGAACCAGGCCTGCTGGCACTGTAGCCAACAGCCACAAGATGAGTCACGTCTCATTATCATCATCATCATCATCATCATCATCAGACAGAACACACTGAACTCTCTCAGTCTCTCCACGGGAGGGTCGGAGGTCACGGTCAGCCGCCCCGCAGCAGCAGGACAAACATCACAGAGCTTCAAGCTTGAATTGAGGGAAACGTTTCACCGTTTCACTGAAACAATCTGTGATTAGTTTGATACTCGACCAGTAATTTCAAGCCAAAATACCAAATATTTAACTATCCAGCTTCTAAAATGTGAAGTTTAGATGCTTTTCTTTGTCATTATCGGTATCGGCTGTGAGGAGCAGATAATTATCGGTTATCAATATCGTGTATCCCTAATGTTCCTAATGTCTTAACATAGTCTCTTTTTATTAGGCTTGTTTAAATGTTTAGAAGTGGGTTCAGCAGCTTGAATGGAAACATGCTTCATTAATAACTTTTTACCGTATCGCGCCACCTTCATTAACTATTACTGAAGAATATGAACCTCTATTATGAAGCGTTACCGCATCTGTGATGCAGTATTTTTTACTCGTATGTGAAATGTGCTCAGACTGGACGTTTGCTCCACTTTGCATCACATTTGTTTTTGCATTAATGTGTAAATGTAGGTTGCAATGTTCCACCCGTCGATGCCGGTCGATGCAGACAGAGCTGCCTGGGGGAGGCAGGGAGTGAGGGAGGCAGGGAGTGAGGGAGGCAGGGAGGGAGGGAGGCAGGGAGGGAGGGTGATGGCTGCAGGACTCAGACAGACCCGAGAGCAGCAGCTGATTCCTCTGAGGAACCTGCAGAGGAATCAGCTGTTACATCATAAGAAACACACCTTTCTTGAACTCCTCCAGCATGGCGTCCAGCCTCGTGTCGTGGAACACAAAGTGGACCGGGTGGTTGTAGAACTTGGTGATGGTCTTCAGGGTGGTGCAGTCGTCCGGGTCCACGAAGGCCAGGTCCTTCACGTAGAGGATGTCCACGATGTTGGACCTCTCGTCGTCGTACACCGGGATCCTGGTGTACCCGCTCTCCATGATCTCGGACATGGTGTTGAAGTCCAGCACGGCGTCCGCTTGGATCATGAAGCAGTTGCCCAGCGGCGTCATCACGTCCTCCACGGTTTTGGTGCGGAGCTCCAGGGCGCCCTGGATCATGTTCATCTCCTCTTTGACCAGGTCGTTGTAGGGTTCTGTCACCTTCAGCATCTCCACCAGCTTCTCCCGGTTGTACACGGTGCCGATCTCCTGGCCCAGCAGGACGTCCAGCAGCTTGCTGACGGGGAAGGACACCGGGAAGGTGAGGAACATGAAGAACTTGGTCACCATGATGGTGTTGGCGCCCACGGCCAGCCCGTGGCGGGAGCACAGCGCCTGCGGGACGATCTCACCGAAGATCACGATCCCAATGGTGGAGGCCACCACGGCGCCCAAACCCGAGCCGATGAGGTCGTCCAGGAGGATGGTGAGGGTGGTGTTCACCAGGACGTTCCCCAGCAGCAGAGAGCACAGCAGATAGTTCCCTTTGCTCCGGATGGGTTCGATCTTTCTCGCGTCGTTCTTCTCCTTGTCGGTTCCACAGCTCTGGACGATGCGCAGCTCCATGGGGTCCAGCGCCATCAGCCCCAGGTTCAGACCGCTGAACATCCCCGACAGCACCAGCAGGAAGCAGATGAGGATGATCT